ACATGGTAGAGATGGTAAATGATCAGGCAATGAAGCATCAAACTGGACTCATTTCACACAGACCAGTGAGCAGAATGGACTGGGGAAGATCTCCAACTCATGGCATTAACATAGCCAGGGCCTGCCCTATACCTTTGGGGCCCCTGGGGAAATGTGGTTGCAGGCAGGTAATGACATAACATATTGCTGTTGTAATGTACAAAGTATCATACTACTTTCTCAAACCAACTTCCAAATGTAGTTAATAAAACGTAAATATTTGGCTGTAATGCTGGCAAACTTTTCAAAGAATAGCTTGTGAAGATACTGTTGTTCGTTTTTGACTCATTTGTGTTTAATTGTAATTCCACAGAATCCACAGAGTGCTAGCCTATATAACAAGAGAAAGTAAACATATTATTTAGCCTATACAATGTGTACTATTAGTTTATCTCTGGGCTAATTGTTCTGTATTTGTTTGCAAAAATGGCACCAAACATTGTCAGTTCTTCTGTCATATTGGTAGGGTCTGCTCCAATAGACTGATGCCTTGATATCACCGGAAGCTTTTCAAATGCCCAACAGGGGTCCTCCTGGACATTCAGTTACACTAAGCTGTTATCATCAACCCATGATGTCTGGTGTCCCTGGACCACCCCACTCCATGCACTCTCACACACATTTGTTGTTGGAGCCGGAGCCGTCTAGGTAGCTGGGTCAGCCTTGAGGTGTGGGCTCTGACCTCTCCTCTTCCTCACTGACCTCCCGACCTCCCGACTGTCTCAGTCTGACAGTATAGCTTGCTGCTGCTGATGCCCCCCCCCCCCCCCCCCCCCCCTCCCCCCTCCCTGCCATGCACTCCCAAACTCAAGCAACAGGGTGTCTGGAGGCAGAGCAGCTGAGGATCTGAATAGATCTGGGCTGATGTCTCCAAGTGTGATTTTCAGGGGCTGTACTGTGCAACAGCAGGAGGCACAGGGACTGCAGTGACTAAATATACGTTCACAGGCAGCGACAGCGTCTTTTATCTGCTCATTTGATTATTTATAAGACAGCTCCGTCCATGCTAGACTCCTTGGTGCTGGGGTCATCAGTCTCAGTTGATCTATCTGGGAGGTAAAGCCAGCCCAGACTCCAATGTATGCCTCAGATCATCATTCTATTTCTTTGAAGGACTGCATTCTTTATTCAACTAAAAAACTCTGCGATATCGGGGATATTTGAGCTGCTCTGGGGCTGACTTGCAGTGAGAGCAGCTCTGTGTGGTGCTGTAGCTCATATTTATAGACTGCACGGGTCTTTGTAATTATCCCATTGCTATTGCTGTGTCTGTGAATCAGCTCTCTCCAGCCCAGCGGCCATAAGCCTCTGAAAACAGGAATGCTAAATACATAGGACCAGAATGTGCATATGCCATTATAGGGTGAACCTCAGATTTGGCTGCATTTGTGCTCCCTGCTCCAGACTCAACTTATTTGCATGACAATAAGAAGAAGGCTTTGTTGATCTGCTATGCAGTCTTAAAGGAATACTTCACCCACAAAAAGGACCATTTGTATATCAATAAATCACCCCATGTTTTCTAGAATTGTTGTTTTTTCACTGGAACCCTATTATTTAATACACTTCTACTCAAAGAGGTCTTAAGTTTGAGTAAAGATGCATGATTTCGGGCTGTAGAGAGCATACGACTGGATAAATTAGACTTCTTCACAATTTCATAAACTTGTTGGTGATTTTGGAGTGAAGTATTCCTTAAAAGCGAAAAACTCAATCAGAAACAAACAGGAATCATAATTAAACAGTTGATATGTTACACAATACAATCACCACAACTCTGTTTTGATTGGTTCGACACATCAACAGTCTAATCAACTCATCAAACATGCTCTTTTCTGGCCTATAAAACCACACACAGAGCTGTGCATTTTTCTGAAGTAACACTAACTCAGCCTAGTTTCAACATAATAATCCTGTGTTTTCTTTGGAAACACTGTGTCTTTTTTCTTCTTTTTGCCCTGACACTTTACAGTAAAATAAGATACGCATGTTTTTCAGCTGCAGGGTGAAGACAGGAAGACCCACATGATGTAATTATCCAAATAAAGGGCAGTGCAGAGGGTGGAGAGGGCTCTTCCTCTCTATGATGTCATGCCACTGCAGCAGTTTGCCGGTGATAAGGAAAGGAGTGCAACTTCACATCCACAAATGTGGTTTGACAACTCTTATCATTGTCCTACTGCTTATATGAGGATGTGTGAGAATAACACAAACATAGAAGTGATAAGCTGTCTCTTCTGTTAAACTAAATATGTGTGATGAGACATTTTCTGGTCATTTTTGATAGCATGACAGCATTTGGATTGCTCCTATTTTGTGTGTATCAGCATGTTGTTTTGCGTGACTGCATCTGAAACATGACTGTTTTTACGGCCAAAATGCTCCCAATCCTTGAGTAAACACCGAGCGTATCCGCTCTCCCCCTGGCTCCTGGCTGCTGGCTCCCTCATTGATCGGTCTGGACAATTTATTAGCCATTGTGACAGTTTCCTGTACAGCCAGGGTCGACAGGGGAAACGGAGAGGTATGCAGATAAAGTGCTCAGAAACATGGTGCACAATACCTATTGTGTTTTGATTGCAGGTTGAACTGTTACCTCCAGAATGTTTGCCACATACCTTCCAGTGTGCGTGTGTGATTGCTTGTTATTCCACATACATGTCCTGCTGCCCCGATCTATTCCCTCAGCATACTGAGTAATCGCATAAGTTCTGGAAAATCACAAGGCTCAAAAACAAAAGGAAATACCAGTGAATTCCACAATAAAGCAATGAAACCTTTAACAATGGCTCGGCGGCCTTGAACTGCAGCTTTCTTCCATCTGTGAATGTCAATTTCAGTCAACAGTTTCAACACTTTCATGGGAAATGTTTGATACTTGGCCAGAAATGTCCTACATCAGCAAATACGCAACTCTACCTCAGCTAAGTTGAGACTAACACGCTGATAATGCAGCCTAAATATTGCATGACCTTTTAGCTGAAAGAGACAAGGGCAATGATCTCTGACCTTCTCAGCATGGTTAACTCCCAAAACAATGGGGACATGCATTGACTTGCAGCTGTGAGGATTTGCCAGGGGACATTATCTGCAGCAGCAACATGAACAGTTTAGGAATTGAGTGACAAGCAGCTGTCATACTGGGGTATGTAAATATGTCCTGTTTGTCTGTTCTGTGTTAGTCTTTGACGAGAGCAGCCAAGCTTAAGATGATGAATGTTAACACCTATCGTGTTCCATGAACTCAGCAGAGGTCATCGACTCACAGTTTGGGGTTCAAGAAAAATGTAAAGTAAGTGTTATATGGAGTACAAGTGTCAGGGGTAGGCACTAATATAGTTGGTTTAACATGGTCACACATCATGGACAAAGTCTTTAATTTAAAAAAGGTGAAATAAACATAGTTAAGGCTGTGAAATGTAACTCCTCACTAAATGAGATGGCGTAAAAGATATCAGTTTGCTGTTTGCGGATGTGTAAATACATGTAGACATGCCACCATATCGATTTTAAGGTTTTCCACTTGTGCTGTATTTACTGTAGTTTGTAAAATGTAAAAGTGTTATGATTCGATAGTGGTTAAAAACTAGGGAATTTACGTATTTTCCTACTTTTCTCCTGTTAAATACTTTGCATTTGAGCAGGCTTTATCATGTAGGTGAAGGTATATGTGTATGAGGCTTAAGATTCCAACCTAAAACATTAACAACATACAAAATGGACATTTTATCTTTTGGATAATGTAAATTAATAATAGTCTTTATAGATTATGTTTATATGTATATGTTTAATATATAAATGTTCTACAAAATCAAAACAACATATTTCCCAGGCTGTGTTTTAAAAGCATTTTTGTTTTCCAACAGGAATGCTAATTATTTAATAAATTAGTAACTATTATCATTACGAGGAAGATCATTACACTTGATAGTGCACAGAGGGATATAAAGACCATAACAGTACATGTACATATAATGCACATGCTGACTGGGCTGCTGCAAACATGCAGGCTTTTAGTGAACATCTGGCAAATCCATAATGGCTCACCAATGGAGACAAGCTCGGAGCTTCGTGGTAGCATGTTTTACAGCAGTGCAACAGTGCCATCTGGTGGACTCAAATAAACTGATGGGACAAAAAAAAGTATGTGTTTTAAATAAATAAAAACTCCTTACATTTTCCTCACAGTCTTGCCACACTTAGAGTGTAGCAAGAGTGGAATTATGAAATGGTTTTCAATTTATAATAAGTATACAGAATGGAAATCCTCCATCCTTAACTCCATTATGTGCTTATGTTGTGGTCCCGCCTGATTCCCCTCTGGTCCTCATTAGGAGACAGCAGCTGCATGCTGCCTGGGACTTTCGAAGATGGACACGTTAATCTGATGATCCCCAGTATGGATACGTGGACAAATACAGCTTATTCTACCTAGGGTGTATGGAGTCGTTTGAGCTGGAACTGGAGCCCAAACTTAAGAGAACATGGTTGTCAGCAAAATTCAGTAGAATCATTAAGAAAAGAAAGGCAAATGGATAATGATGTTATAAAAAACTGAACACATCCATTTTAAATGTCTGGCATCAGCATAACAATGCTCTTGGGGTTATAATTTGCAGAAAGCTTAATGTTTATTTCACACTGTAATTATATACTGTCTAATGTAGTGGGAAAATATTCCTTTACTTTTGTGATGATGGAGCGTACGTAATTTATTGTTTCTTTTGGAAACTTCATCATAAAAACATACAAGGAGTTCCCCTTATATGATATTTTATTGTAAAGGGATTTAAACAATTCTTATCAATTATAAAGTCAAATTAAACTTTAAAAAATAAATTAAATATTTAAAAATCGAGTTAGCTAACCATCTAGCTAGATGTCCAGCACAATAGATGGATGGATGGATGGATGGATGGATGGATAATAGATAGATAGATATGGAAGAAGGAGACTGCTCATGAAAATATGAAACATTTATTGAAAAGTGAGAAATAACATTGACATGAATGTCTTATGGTGTAAATTAACATGTTTACATTTCTTCTGTAATCTCTGTGTGGCTCTAACGTGACAAAAAAGAGAACTCTTCAAGTCAACACCAACATCCTGTGTTGTTTACACCTCTAGTTTTTGACTTAAGCTTAAATACTTTGCGATAAATTATCTTCATGGTTAGTTTTGTCCCCGTTGCTCAGTTCTATTGGGGGCTCAGATGAAGGATCCTGCGGTTCTCTTGGACCTCCTGGAAACATACAAACACAGACGACAACAAGTCGGTAAGTTACATTTGGCAAAGTTCTGTTCCTGAGTTGTGTGTTTTGGGTGTGGTTTTGTTCTAAAGTGCATGAGGAACACCTTTTCTTAATAATTAATATAAAACTAATGCACATGAATGTTTTTAAGCAAGTATCCAAAGCGGGAAAGAATAGAAGAGTGTGTAGAGATTGTTTTTGTTTTAGCCATGATTGTGTTGTGTCACCATTTATGGAGAGCAAAAGGACAGTAATGCTTATACATTACCTTCAGCTGCCTTTCTGTCTCCAATAATATAGAGAGAAGACAGAAAGAAAAACAGTCCTCCCAGGATCCCAACCACTGGGCAGACCAGGAGGCTGTACTTCAGACTGTGGAAGCTCCATTCAGGAGACACAGGTTTAGATTTGCTTAAAGCATCTGAGATCTATAGAACAAGGGGGAAGACAGCTCAATGATGAACAGAAAAAGTGGTTTACTCAATTTCACAGAGGTACAATTAAGTTAAAAATGACGTTTTCTGTGGCGAATTGAACTATTTCTCACCGCTCCTACTAGGAAAGGACTCCCAGCATCCCCCAGGAGATGACCGACAGAAATCTGGAGAGCCTCAGCTGTAGCCCTTCTGGTTGGTATGACAACATACTGAAGTAAAAAGTGAAACATAAGACAACCTGTCTGCTTCAAGTTTTAGTAGACTGTTTCATGTTTTTATTTATCACACGGTTATCCCTTTCACTCACCAGCAGTATATCTGCCATGACGGCCCAGTTCAGTGATATCAATATTTCACTAAAGAAAATGAATACCTGAAATGAGACATTAAATCAGAGAGTAAGCAACTAATACAATAATATTTATGTAATTCATCATCACCCATCACAATCCCCTTTTTCCACTCCGACTGCTATTTATTTATTCAGGTCTTCTAATCTAAACTATACTTTAGCTAGTGGACACCAGCACATACAGGCATTTGTCTCTTACGTAGGTGGCGGGAATGCTCGTTGATGCCACAAAGATGGTGATGAAGAGGCAGGGTGCTGCTCCCAGCAACCCTGATGCACAGATGAGTGGGTCTGACTTTGGGAACTTTTCCCTTAACCATCTAGATAAACCACTGCCAAGAATCCCTCCGAGAATGCCCGTCAACACAGTCACAGCACCGAAGATATAACTGTACAGAGAGCAGAGGCACAAGGCGTTGTTAAAACTCTGTATTCATTTGGAAGGGAAGGGGGTAAATGAAGAATGATGCTGCACCTGTCCGTGGAGTCGCAGGGCTCTTCGACACACGCCGGTCGGAGTCCTTGACTGACCTGAGCTCTAGACAGAAAAGTAGGCATCCAGAAAGCCAGGGCTCCGGAGAGGAAGGCCGTAGCAGTCACTCCCAATGTTGACCACAAGTACGTTTTGCTAGTGTCAGAGAAGAAATACAAAGAGAATACGATCAAAACTTGCATCTCTGCATAGATGGGTAAGGCTCAGAATAGGGAATGCTAATATTTTATTATAATTTTCTATCATACTTGTTTTAAACACCAATGAAGACATAATTATTTTGTCCGACAACTTGTTGTTTCTGGCAACAGTTCTAAATTGGTTGATCCTACTTAAAGGACAGAAAAAACGTTGTTTCTATAGGTAAATACACATCTGAGTTGACAAATATGACATGTGGGGTCAAGGGTGTAACTTTGGTTTGAGAAGTGGGGGGGACACAAAACAGGGGGTCCTCCGCAATGAAACATTGTTCTCGATTTAATTCCATTTCCTGCCTTTCTACAAATATATTAGGGACTATAGTGTTAACAAATCCAAGAAAAATGTGTAGTGTATATAATGAGTGTGCACACTTATCTAGTATCCTCTCCATGTGAGCCTGTTTTATTTGTGATGACCTAACATCCTCTAGGGGGGTCCGGGGGCATGCACCCCCGGGAAGATTTTTGTTCTTTAAATTGAAGTTAAAGGCATCAATCTGGTGCACAAATTAAGAGATTTATGGATACAGCTCTCAACACTCGAAACAGAACTGTATATATTTCAATACTCCAAAAACCATTAGAATATGCTCACAACCAATAACAAATAATTGATATACTCCTCACTCCTATCTTTATCTTACCTAGTCTGCATTCTTTCTTTTTATTTATGCATATTTTACTAATCACTCCCCTTTTAAACTGTGTTTTTAATTTTTGACTGACCTATAGCACACAGTGGAATGATTTATTAACTTATTTTGAACAACTATATTAAATAGATGGAAATACTTGTTTACATAGATGACCAAACCGTTTGAGACCCACTGAGATAACTTAGACTAAAGTTTACAATCTAATCGCTCAGAGAGTCCTTTACCTCACCTAAACTGACGTTATCTCAGCCTCTCAGTCCGACAGGAGAGGACTCTCCCTCTCCTTATTGTTGAAACAGCTTCTAATTTCCGTTAACTCCGAGCTAGCACCAGATGCTAACAACAACCCCCGTGATCTCTATCTATAGATCTATATAGCTATATATATATATCATATCTCTCTATCTCTCCTCTCTCTCTCTCTCTCTCTCTCTATATCTCCTCTTATCTCTCTATCTCTCTCTCTCTCTCTCTCCTCTCTCTCTCTCTCTCTCTCTCTCTCCTCTCTCTCTCTCTCTCTCTCTCTCTCTCTCTCTCTCTCTCTCTCTCACACACACAAAATGCGCTCGTGCCACACACAAACAGACACTCCTCCGTGACGATGACCGCTTGCATAAAAAAATAATAATAAACACATTTGAAAAGTGGGGGGGACACAAACGGGATTTTGAAAAGGGGGGGGTCATGTCCCCCCTGTCCCCAGTGAAAATTACGCCCATGTGTGGGGTACCTCAAGGCTCCATCTTGGGGCCTCTTCTCTTTAACATCTACATGCTACCACTGGCTCAGATAATGAAAAACAACAAAATAAGTTACTATAGCCAGGGGTGCACATAACTGGTACGCAGGTACGCATGCGTGGCAACAATCCGAAATGCGTACCGTCACTTGTGTCACAAAGCGCATTTGCGTACCGACGTCAATGTGAAGCTTTTCCAGAAGGCGGTTAGTTCACCGGACGACAGAGTCGGTCTCCGTGTGCACAGACAGGGCAGCTGTTAACGTCGGTCTGTACAGCAGCCCTGCGCTAAAACACAACGCCAGCCCCCCCCCCCCCCCCAGTCATTGCACCAATCAATGACTGGATGTGTCAGAACTTTCTCCAATTACACAAAGATAAAACTGAGGTAATGGTTTTTGGAGCCAAGGCAGAACGTATAAAAGTTAACGCTGAGCTTCAGTCTGCAATGTTCAAAACAACAGATGAAGCCATAAATCTACAGTAGGTGTAGTCATGGACTCTGATCTGAGTTTCAACAGTCACATTAAAACAGTTACTAAATCAGCCTACTATCACCTAAAGAATATATCTAGGATTAAAAGGCTAATGTCATAGCAGGATTTGGAAAAACTTGTCCATGGCTTTATCTTCAGTAGACTTGACTACTGTAATGGTGTCTTTACAGGTCTCACTAAAAAATCCATCAGAATTGTGGATACGCTTTGCATTGTGGCTACGCTTTGCTCCCACAATGCAATTCGGCAAAGCGTGACGTCACCCCATTCAAAGTTAATGGGCAGAAGCGTTGAAGCTTCAACGCACACCGCCGTGTGTAAGCTCCGTAACACTAAGAAAGTGGATCACATCACTCCAGTTCTGAAGTCTTTACACTGGCTTCCTGTGTGTCAAATAATTGATTTCAAAATACTGCTGCTGGTTTATAAAGCTTTGAATGGTTTAGGCCCAAAATACATGTCTGACCTACTGCTAAATTATGAACCATTTATGGAACAAACTACCAGAAATCTGCCGGTCCGCTGCAACTCTCACTGTATTTTATCTTTTTTTTAATATTCCCAATAAAATCTATAGAGGCTTCAAAAATATATGTCCTACTTTTTCAAAAGATACTTGACGTCCTCCAGGTACGAACTCTGCCCTGAGACTCCTTCGCCATGGGTTTCTGCAGCACCTCTGGGTGGATTAGGGCATAAGAAGACCAGCAAGACAAGTCCAACTACACCCAAGATAGGAGTGATCTGATAACACAAAAGGTTGTAATATTAATCACTCTATACTTACCAGTGCTCAGCCAACATTAATTAAAATGTTCTTACCCTGAGAGCCCAGCGCCAGTCTCCTGTGAGAGAAGCAACACCTGCCCCTGTTATGTATCCAAGACCACTAAAAACACACAGAAGACCATTTTAGTGATCATGACGACATAAACAAGCTTGTCAACAGTTGTTTTAGGAATGTATGTCCAATATATACATTTTTATATACGAGGGATTAATAAAAGTCCATCTTTAAAATATCTTCTTATTATAAAATTAGATCCTTTTTTTAAAATGGCAATGGTGTGAACTTTTCTCTTTATGACTAGTTGTCTAAGCCAGGCATGGTTAAAAAGCAAGTATTACTGCAGGCTAAGACAGACTGTTATTTGTATATAATCAGCAAGATTATTTTGTCCAAACTTCCAACCTGTTTAACCTACAGTATCTGCATGGGTTACTGTGGTATTGAGGTAGTCGCCAAAAACTACGTAGCTACAATACGCTGGGAAAGCTAAGCTAAGCTAAGCTTTCCAAATGCGTAAGCGTTTACCCTCGAAACAATTGATCAATTACCAGTGCAGAACCTTATGGGCAGAGGGGGCTAGTACAGTGCAATATTAGTGGAAATCAGCAAAAAGTTAAAGTTAATTCTGTCCACAGTGTTGTCCTCTACAGCACTTTGCTTGTAGTAGCATGGATTCTGCAAAACATGGATTCTGAACAACACACCAGTGTTTTTACCTTGCATAGCAGCTTGACATGATAAGACCTACGTGAAGCTAACAGGCATAGTTTACGTGTGTGTGACAGGACACAGGAAGACGACAACGATGACTCCTTAAAAGGTTAAGGTCAAGAACATTTTCTTTCATTAAGCATGACATTGTGGAATTCTTTGAATATAAAGCGGTTCTTAATTATTTGACTTGAACATAGCATAGGCATATTATGTGAAATGCTACTTAAGTACAATTAAAAACCAACATTCCTGGGGCCACTACAGAAAATTGCAGATAGACATGAATCATTATCCTGGAATTCAAGTAGACACAAGTGACACATAAAAAAACAGTAACCATACAAAGTGCAGCCATATACAGGACTTTAATATCGCTTGCTAAAACATGGACAAAAAGCAGAATATATAAACACAATGGTGGACTGAGATTGGGTCTTTTTCAAACCTTCCAACAGGGATAAAGATGTAGAAGATACAGATTATCATGCTCCGTTTAGTCCCAACAAAGAGATCAGCAATGATGGTGGGTGCAATGGTGGAGTAACTGGCCTCTCCTATCCCCACCATCCCACGCAACAGCATCAGAAGCCAGAAGTGCTAAAGACCCAAAACGACAAAGAAGCAATTTTACAAGATTAGTACCAAACAGCACAAATATGTTCCAACAGTTTAACATACACCTTGCTTGAAGCTGGAAACCGTACAATCAATAATATTTATTCCTCAAAGTTTAAGAATAAATTCTTCTTTGTACTTAATGGGATAGTTTGGATGTTTTGAAGTGGCGTTGAATGAAAGCAGTCAAGGAGGGACCAAACTATAAAATCATAGAAGCAATGGTAGGAGATATTGTGTTTTTAGAAGATCGAGCCCAAAGGGAGCATGTACAGTATAGGCAAAGTAGTATGGGCCGTAAATGTTGCCTTGAGGTACTCCACAGGTGGTGGGAGCAGACCAGGAGGAAATGTTTCCAGTGTTGACAATAAAAGGTTGGTTTATTAAGTAGAAACCTGGAAACTGGCTCTGCAATTTCTCGAGAATATCATTGTTAACTGTATAGAAGACTGCGCTAGTCTAGGAGAATTAGTATGGCTCATTACCAGAGTCAAGAAGCAGCATTAGATCATAAAGAAGCAGTTCATCAAGATTTAGTTTAAAATACAACAAAGATCATCTAACAGGTTAACATACAACCATTTTTTTGTTTCCTGACTTACTGATATACAGGGGCATTCTATCTAAGGAGTAAGTGCATGATGAGGTTAAATGAAAGAGGAAGACATTTAAACTACTAGCTGCAAGTGACATCTTGTGATCTTGTTGCTTCTTATTTCTTGTGAAGTGTACTGTATGTGACACCTCATTTTATCACTCACCGACTCAGTGACAAAAGAGCTGCCGGCTGCTGTCACAAGCCAGACAATCAAACCACCAATCATGATGTATTTCCTGTTGTAACGGTCCCCAAGGTAGCCAAAGAGAGGGGCCAGAAGCAAGAAACTGCAGATGAAAACTGTAAGTACATTAATAAGAATTAATTCCTCTTATATTGTATTAACTTGACTCAGAGTCATTAACCAATTGATTTTTCTTATTTAGAAAACCAAAACGTGTGTATGTAATGTTATATTTATGTCACGCAATAACAGTTCTCTGCAATGCATTTACAGCACATGTTTCATAACTTTATGTTAAGTAATGCAGGGCCAAATAGGGACATTCCAAATATGGGTGCATGTGTAAGAGTGTTTTCTGCACCCTCATACCTGTTTGTATGAGTGCAGCTGTACCATCATTTATAACAAAAAATTGCTGAATGTCGGGAAGGACACCTATAGGACACAACAAACATTATATTTAAGCCAACCAACATAGAAACAGTTAATGGTGTTTGTTAAAAGGCAACAACAGGTCAACTTACCTGCTATTGTGTACCGCTCTGTGTAGTTGAGCAAGTTGATGTAGCAAAGTACAGCCACAGCTATATAGGAGCGCCTCTGTGATATGGCTGGTTCCTCCGTTTCCTCTGCCTTTGGTGTGAGGGATGAAAGACTGTTCACAAAAGAGCCATAATGTAGACCAGAGCTGGAGCCCAGGCTCCATCGAGGTATTGGACTGTCCTTTGGCTCCATAGTGAGCAGCTTTTTCTTAACCTGGAAATGGAGAATGTGTTACTTAGTTTTATAAAAATAATTTACCCTCATTCTCGCCAAATATGATAGGTTCAAGGTTCAAGGTTCTTTATTTGTCATACGAACATAGCTACAGAGTAGTTATGTCGATGAAAATCTTAGGTCGCAGGCTTAATGTTGCAGTGTGTGTACACTAGTTTCTAAACCAGTCTTATTAGACAATTCAATAAAGATCAGTGACAGGACTGAGCACTACTCTCTTTAGAAAAGGGATAATAGACGTTTTTCTGTTTCAAGTGAATACAAATTATAGCTCAACCTAAAAATAAAGATTGATTCCATCACAGAACAGTAAGGACTGTCACCATCCTGTTTACGTGTCAACATACATCATACATTTACCACGTGTTGCTATTGAAGCCCTCTCCCCTCAAGTAATGTAGTTTGGGGGAAATCAGTTAATGTGGTTTGTAGAAACACTTTAGAAATAGTAATTGTTACACAAAAGAATGATGGGAACATAATTACAAAACTGTGTAGGAGTAAGTTTTGTAACTATGTCAAAATGTCAGAAAATAGAGAAGGAGTTGTTACAACACTATAGAGCAGTATATGGTGTGATTATGAGTTTAGACGTTGTCATATGTTCGGGGAAATAGTTAACAATGTACTAATCCAATAAAATACTGTACATGCATAGTTCAGATGATCATAGAATAACAACATAATACATGCAAAAGACGAAATATAAGAATTTAAGTGGATCATTTCATAAGTGGTTTTTAGAAGCCCTAATGCATTCTGCCCCAGTTAGGGTTGATGCAGAGTTATCCAAGACACTATTGTGCATTGAAATATTTTCTCTAAACAACAAAAGATGAAAAAAGATGCACCCACCTTTTTGCTGACGATGTCCTGTTTATGTTATTTTCTCAGTTCATTCCATGTTTGCAGTCGTAAGAGCACAGTGTTGCTCCTTGTGTGACTCTCAGGCTCGTAGAAGCTAACAGAGGTCTCAGCTCTAACATGCCTCAAGACATATTAGGTTAGTGAAGGGACCAGCCCACTCTGTGTTGGTCATATGCTTTCACACATTACTTCACTGTGATGCAATGCTGTAAACAAGCCAAATATTTTCATTTTGTCTCTGCTTTTCTCATTCTTTCTATTAATAAGTGGGAAATTAAACAATTGGCACAAGAAACACATGAGTCAGGTTCATATGTGACTGGCCTGAGTCATTGATGAGTTTGAACGGCTTTAAACACACAACAGAAGGGCAAAAAGGCTGATGTTTATGTGGGTGTCAGGTGGTCAGCTATTAAAAAAATTAATGCATGACGACTTTCATCAGTGGTTGCAATTCTGTCTGTGACCAACACGTTGTCACTATTTGTGGAAAGCAAATGGTAAAAACACACTAGTGTACAACACTTACAAACAGTCATTCAAACACACATTAATCATTTGTAGTCATTGTAGTGAGTGCATACATCATAATTACTTTACATTTGTAAAAATAAGCCCTCATAGTCATCAATTAGTTAAAGTCCGTTTATTTCATTCTTATTTAACATCCAAGTGTTTTTCCCAAGTACAATGATAACCTCATACTTATATACTTTTTTCATATTTTTTGTAAATAAAAGCACTTAAATCTACTTTTGCGACTCAAACTATCTTATTAATTTATTTCTTAGATATTTGACCCACACTTTTTGTAGCACTGCTGTTGAAGCAGGAATTGTTCATGTATTTTGATTGTGAAATTGAGATCTTGCCTAGGATGGTCCTGGACTTTAACAGTCCTGAAAAGGGGACTGACCCTTTAGCCAAGGCACAGGTTGCACTCTGTAAGCTGTTTAAGCCTTACTCAAGCATAACAAACTCTGCGAAAAACACCAGAGATATAGTCTCTGGCTGTTACACCACATGTGTCTATACAATATACTAACATACTTCCTCCTTCACTCATGAGATAATTTCTCAACTTCAAATGAAGAAGTAACCAGTGTTAGTGTTAAATGAGAACATGGCAATCATGAATCATGTGTGAAACTAAAGATAAATGTAGTCAAATATGTGTTTGTATGAAATGAGAATATACATGTGTATGCATATTGTTGGGGAAATATTTTCCAAGGCCCATAACTTTGACCCAGTTTATCAGTTTATACTGACCTCACTGAGCACAGGCACCTGTAACCTTGGCTGCTGTGCTCTCAGTGTTTTGACTCCCTGTTCCTGCCTGTTGGCGTCAGCTGATAGCCCTGCTGAAAAAACCAGCTAAGACCAACAAGGCTGGTCAGGCTGGTAAACCAGCCTGACCAGCCAGTCAATATTAGGCTGGATTAGTTTGCTGGTTAAGAGGGGTTTTGGACACTTTAGCTGGTCAGGATAGCTGGTTTGGTCACAGTGGTCTAGCTGGTCACCATTAGCTCGTCGGGATAGCTGGTTTAGCTGGTAAAAGCTGGTGGTCACAGTGGTCTAGCTGGTCGGTCTAGCTGGTCAGGATAGCTGGTTTGGTCACAGTGGTCTAGCTGGTCACCATTAGCTGGTCGGGATAGCTGGTAAAAGCTGGTGGTCACAGTGGTCTAGCTGGTCGGTCTAGCTGGTCAGGATAGCTGGTTTGGTCACAGTGGTCGAGCTGGTCACCATTAGCTGGTCGGGATAGCTGGCTTAGCTGGTAAAAGCTGGTGGTCACAGTGGTCTAGTAGCTGGTCACCATTAGCTGGTCAGGATAGCTGGTAAAAGCTGGTGGTCACAGTGTTCTAGCTGGTCACCATTAGCTGGTCAGAATTGTATGATCTTGAGTAGTAGTTTGTGACTCTTACAACCTCAGATCCAGTGCCTGGATACGGTTCCAGGTACCTACTGTACGGACTGAGGCTGGAAAAAGGAGTCTTTCTTACTATGGTCCTTGGTCTTGGAATGACCTTCAATCACGCCTTAAACTGAGGGCACTTGTCTCTATATCATTGTTACGTTCCTTACTGGGCTAGGGGAACCAGAAGGAAGTAACAACATATGAAAAGACCAGGAGAGAGAAAAAAGGAAACTGAGATATAAAGCCACAAAGTGATCTTTTAATTAATAAAAGAAAAGGAGGCTCACCAGCCAATTTGCAAACTAACGACAAACCAAAACAAGTTTCTCATAAAAGAAAGCGACAACAGTAAACCAAGACACTACTCAGAACTTCTACAAGTTGCACGTCCCACGTAGACAACAACAAAACACTACACTGCTGCACAGATCACCCACTGCCATCCATGCAGCTCACAGGAGAAGGAGAGAGACCACTGCAGCCTTCCTCAGGTCCTATATGGAGGCCCTGATTGGGGATTGGGAGCACCTGGGGGAGAGGCTGCACCTGGAGGCAATCAGGGAGAGAGAGAGATACACACAAGCACCAACTGCGGCACGTAACACCCCCCCCCCATAAAACACACGTTATACTGCCCACAAGCAGCAAACACCGGAGCAACACATGGAACACACACATCACATGGAATACACACATCACTCACTGAACACAGATCCCCATTGCTCTGAGCCAGGTCCACACCCACCGCTTCAGAAACGGGAACACCCACAGCACTGTCACAGACGGACGCAGAACTTAACTGCAGCTCACCACTCTGTCGCATCTCAACTGGGTGCCGGTCTTTTGGCTTTTCCACAGACCGCTTGGAAGCTGCCACCTGCTTCTTCCGAGCTACACACTCTGCCACTAGGCAAAAGAAACACAATCTCTTTTCCTTGGGTCCTGGAAGAGAAACAGAATGAGCATGTGTGGCACGCCTGTTACGAGCTTTCCGGAAACCAACACGATGAGAATTGCTATGAGCCAAAACACCACTGTGTGATAGCACAATCTCTTCCACATCCGCCATAGTGGCAGCCTGCTTTCGCTTCAAAGCTGCACAGTCTGCTATCAAATGACCAGGGTTATGACAAAAAAAACAAGGCTTTTCTAGCTTGGGACCTGATACTGGAAAACTGGCACGGGGGACGTATGTGTCACGAGCTCTATGGTAAGAATCTCGCTGAGAAAAAACGCTTTTATGTGTAAGTGCAAACTCATCTGCTAGAGTGGCAGCCTGCTGAAGGGTAGATACTTTTTGCTCATTTAAATGAACTACAGTACGCTCTGGTACACAGTTTTTAAATTCCTCCAGCATCATTAGTTCACACATTAAGGTAATGTCATCCGCTTTACAAGCTCTACACCACCTGTCAAAGAGGATTTTCTTCTCCCTTGCGAAGTCCACATAAGTCTGGCCAGAAGTTTTCTTCAGGCTGCGGAAACGCTGCCTGTAGGCCTCAGGCACAAGCTCATATGCCCTGAGAACAGCACCTTTCACATTGTCATACACCATACAATCCTCGACAGAAAGAGAAGAGCAAGCCTCCTGAGCCTTGCCGACTAGCTTGCACTGTACAAGTATGGCCCACACATCTTCTGGCCAGCGCAGTGCAGCAGCAATGCGCTCAAATGCACCAAAGAAGGTCTCCACTTCTGACTCACGAAAGACAGGGACCAGCTGAATGTTGCTACCAACATCAAAAGCAGTAGTAGAACCTGTGTGCAGCTCTAGCTGACGCATCCTGAAAGCTGTGTCTGCCTCAACTTCCTGTCTCCAGCTCCAACTTCCTGATCTCCAGCTCCCTCCTGAGCTGAAAATCCCTATCACGCTCCTCCTTCTCCCACTGGAGACGAGCTAACCTCACTTTCAACCTGGCATCTAATTTAGAACCAGTATGAGAGGACTCACCCAACACAAGGGAGGCCATACTAAAACACACAAACTAATTTTCAACACTCCCTTAAATCACCTCACTCAACAGGCAAAATATCTGATGCTACACAAACATCGACTCTTCCAAATAACAAACTTCCCCAGATCCTGCCTACCACAACTTACCTAACTATCTTCTGGAGCGTGCCGGGCTCGAGGCGACTTTAAAGGCAAACATCAGCGACCGAAACCCTGAAACGCCTACCCCCAACAGGGACTAAATCCCCACCCAGGATTACCCCGAAAATAAAAAAGGCAAACTAATAAATGAGTGCCTGAAGGAAAGACTGATTCAGCCCAGCTAGACACTCCCCTATCTAAACTGAGGAAGCTGTTCAACAGTAAGAGACTTCAGCCAATGCTACACACTACTGCTCACCACCAAACACAATCACACTAAACAAACAAATACTCACTCTTTGTCTCAAAGATTGGACGAGCCCCCATATTACGTTCCTTACTGGGCTAGGGGAACCAGAAGGAAGTAACAACATATGAAAAGACCAGGAGAGAGAAAAAAGGAGAGGAAACTGAGATATAAAGCCACAAAGTGATCTTTTAATTAATAAAAGAAAAGGAGGCTCACCAGCCAATTTGCAAACTAACGACAAACCAAAACAACTTTCTCATAAAAGAAAGCGACAACAGTAAACCAAGACACTACTCAGAACTTCTACAAGTTGCACGTCCCACGTAGACAACAACAAAACACTACACTGCTGCACAGATCACCCACTGCCATCCATGCAGCTCACAGGAGAAGGAGAGAGACCACTGCAGCCTTCCTCAGGTCCTATATGGAGGCCCTGATTGGGGATTGGGAGCACCTGGGGGAGAGGCTGCACCTGGAGGCAATCAGGGAGAGAGAGAGAGATACACACAAGCACCAACTGCGGCACGTAACAATCATGTTTTAAATTGAAGTTGTCTGAAGTCCTCACCACCAGCTGCTCTTGCAGTAACAAGTAGTGTACTTTTTTATTGTCCTAATGTGCACAATGTAGTGACTGCTTTTTCGTCTTTTGTTTTCTTTGTTATGTTCTCTGTATTTTATATGTTTGTGTTATGTGTTATGTGTAACGTTGCTGCCTTCTTGGCCAGGTCAGCATTGAAAATGAGATTTTATCTCAATGTTTTTATCTGGTTAAATAAAGGTTAAATAAAAATAAAAATAAAAGAACTTTAGCTGGGATTACTTGATGGTTAAGCTGGTCATATATGATGATGAAA